GGGGTCCCGCTCTGCCTCTCGAAGTTGCCCGGGTTGGAGAAGTAGTCGCGCAGCCGGGGCAGCTCGCGGCCGCTCTCCAGCAGCTCGGTGTGCAGCTCCAGGGCCGTCAGCAAGAACTGATCGCGCAGCAACTGAGCGGCGATCGCGTCCATCGACAGGCGGGCCGGGGCCTCCCCCAGGCCCCCCAGCGCCCCGGCCGCCGCCGCCGCCTCTCCGGGGAGCCCTGGCCGCGCGCTGCTCCCCAAAGCCACGGGGTCCTGCGGTGACAGCGAGCCCACGGAGCCCGGGTCCAGGCCGCCCCCGGAGCCCAGCCGAAGTCCGGGCCGCCGCTCCTGGCTGGCCGCTACCTCGTCGTCATCCTCGTCCGTATCACTGAGGAAAGGATTCACGCCGCCGCCGCCACTGCCACCGCCAGGCGCCATTGCCGCCATCTTATTCTGTCAGGAGGGTGGGCGCCTCCCCGACTGTCTCGGACCAGCGACGGCCTAAATCTCCCCTAAATCTCAGCGGCCACTGCGCGCCTCCACAGCTGGCCCTGGCCCCGTCCCGCCTCCCCACCTGGAGACCAGGCGTGGCCCGGAGACAGAAGGTCCAGATGCAGCACCGCCCGCCGCCTTAGCAGCGGCTGCACTTGCAGCCCGGCTCCGTAGGCGTCTTCCTGGTCTCCAGTCCCGCGAGATCTCGCGCGAGCCCTGCCCCTCTCGAGGTTCCACCCTCCCCTCAGCCCGGCCCACTCCCGGAGCCAGAAAGCGATGATTGAAAGGCCGTATTCCCACCTCCAAAGCAAATCCTACTGGAAGCTAGTGACTGATTGGTGGATAAAGGAGGGAGGCGGGCATTAGGGAGGCGTGGCCCTTGAGGCATCGCGAGACCAGCAGGTGAACCGGTAGTAGTTGTAAGCAGTGCTTGCTAATGAGACTCCAGTGTGATTGTTTAGGGACACGCGCTCGTTTAGCTTTAGAGACGCTGTTCGAAAGCATTAATGGCCTATGACACACCAAGGAGGCCTCATTCTGGAGGCAGACCTGATCCAAATGAGCCTCAGGTAGAGTCGAGGGGTGGATCGCTGAGAGGGGGCGGCCCCGAACCTGCGGCCGTGGCCCTGGACCCTTCACCTTTCCCAGTGTTTACAGTCAATTGGTGACGTTTTTCGGGCCGAGCAGCAGAGATGCAGGACTGGGGACGGAACTTGACTCTTCCTGCCCTCGCACCGATTGCCGGCTGCCCAGAGAGGCCCGCGACCATGAGTGGCTCGCGCCTCGGGTCCAGTGGCTCCCCGGGGTCCGCCGCCGGCCGGGACGCAAGTCTGGGGGGGGGGGGATCCTGACCTGTGACACCTCCACCGTCCACCAGGCTCACGTTGTTAGCGATCAGGGGACACAGGGGACGCACAATTCATCCGCAGGGGCTTTGCAAATAGCCTGTCCCACCCGGTCCGTAGAGAAGCACGTGGACAGAAGCCTGGAGACGTGCGTGCTGACCTGCATGGGTCACCACTGGCAGGAACCCCAGCCGCATCTCTTCGGTCAAAGGCCTTTTCCCCTTAGACTCTGCAGCGTCTCTGACTCATCAGTGCGAGATGCAGCACGGTTTTGACAGTGACAGTTCTTTTAGAAGCGCGATTCCTCAGGATTGCGGTTTTCTGTATCCGATCTGGTGCTTCTGCGTTAGTCTCTGATGGCGTTCCCTAACGCTTCCAGGTCTTAAAGGAAATGCTGTCCGCTGAACGATATTTGAGTGTTATTCCTTATACTTCCCTTTGTCACGCACCCCCACACATCCTGGCACTTTCTGCGGGTTTGCTATCTATTAACTTTTTACTGTCTAGCTTCCAATAAGCACCCAGACATACAGGTGGCCATAATTATGACCGTTAAGAAAGTTACATATTGCACAAGACCCATAAAGTACCACTTTTATCTATGGGGAGGGGAAAGGGAGCCTTTAGGTCAGGTTATTGGTTTATATGTCAAAGTATGCCAACAGTTAAGTGCAAGCTTTAATTTCACTTTACTGGGGCTTAGTAAACAGAAATTTTTATTTGAGGTTTTGTTTTAGGGGAGATATTCCCTATGAGAAGTGTTTGTTGTTGTTGTTGTTGTTTTAATTAAGCTATTAACATCTAGATATCAAACTGGTTTAAAAATAGAACGTTATCTTCTGATGTTCTAATACTACATGTATTTCTGCACCGTAACTTTGGGGAAAATATGTCAGGGGAAAAAGTTGTAACAGATACTACAAATGCCTGGCGTCACCCACACTCAGTCTTTCTCCAGCTGGGACCCATCCTCGGCTGACACTCGTTTGGGAGGAGATTGCTCAACTGTTCACTGTACAACCTACAGACACTGCCTTGTACTGAGGGTACACTACGTGGTGTTTCTATACTCAGACATACGGGGGAAGATGGGCAGTTTCCTCCTACATTATTTACAGCCTCTGAAAAGAGGCTGGAGAGTCAGAAGTTGGCTCCAATTCCATAGTGCGTAGTAACATACTCATTGCCATCAAGTGAGAACTGACTCTGACGATCCATAGATGTTTGGAGGCTATTAGGTTCGTGGAAGGAGATTGTCCATCTTTCTCCACTGACCCTCAGGTGAATTCAGCCCATCAGAGGGGTGCAGCCTTCGGTTTAGCTGTGCAACTCCTTCCAGAGTTCACCTCCCTGATGTTTCCATAGTCCATTATTAATTAATGTAATATTAGTATATAGAAGACTAACCAGGTTTTTTAAAAAAAACCACAAAAACAAACAAACAAAACTAAACAACCAAAACATAGCAACATAAGCAAATATAAAAAATATCAATTGTTTTAGCAGTCCAAGTCTGAAAAAGCAATTAAGTCAGTAGGACCCAAAGAGAAGAATTTCTTTACATCTGGGACAATAAAAATGCAGGTTGAAAATAGACTTGAAAATAAGATTCCTCAGAATTCAAGAAGTTAGAAGTAGGAATTTTTTCCAGGAATGACTTCCTATAAAATCTGTAGTTTCCTGTTTCTACCTCCTGTAATCATGGACTTGCTTCTGTGACCTTTCAAGCTCACTGCAAATCAGTTAATGGGACTTCTCGTTAAGATACACTTACTGTACACACTTCATAGTAGGACTTTTCTCATTAACTAAAAATGTTTAAGAAATAGCATACACTAGAATTTTTTATTTTTAATGATGATCAGTTTATCATTTATTAGTAATATTATTGGAAAACATTTTTTTCTCCTTAGCAACTTTGCATCAATGAAGACCTTTACAGATAGTATTTGTATTTCAATATATGGCTAGTGACTGAAGTTTGTACCTTAGCCATGAAAATAGACTGCGTTCATACCGAGCACTTCAAACATCTCTGTGTGTGTGTGTGTGTGTGTGTGTGTGTGTGTGTGTGTGTGTGTTTGTGAGAGAGAGAGAGAAATTCAAGCAGTAAGATATTTGAAATTTTTATCTTTAATAAAACATTTTTATCTTTGATAATCTTGAAGTAACCCCAGGTAATGTTTTAAAAGTAAGCTCTTGATGGATTTAAGATTGAAGTAACATATAACATTGTTTCGTAATGTGTGCCAAACATTTCATAGGCAAAACATAGTATGTGGGCATGTGTCTTTAAAAGATTGTAATAGTTATGTATCAGGACATTTCAGATAACACAAGCATAGTAATAATTCCATGTTCTCTAAAAAGCTAGATAATATGTAATTGTCTTTAAAGGAAAACATTAAGTAATAGCATAATTCGGGCAAGTGGCCAGGAGGAACCATTCCTTGGAGAGGGCCATCATGCTTGGAAGGGTGGAGGGTCAGTCAGTGCAGTAAATGAAATGACAGAGTGACTGTGGCGATGGGGGCAGGTGTGTCAATGACAATGAGATTGGCTTAAAATAGGAGGGGGTTCAAAGCTATTGTTCATAAGGTTGCTCTGAGTAGTCAGCTTGATGGCACATAACAAAAACAGTTGCCTGAGAAACATGTGCTTGGCAAGAATAAAATAATGTGTGGTAGTTCATAGTTTGTACATGTTCCAGAGGCACATAAAAAGTGAAACAAGACAACCTCTAGTGGCTGTAACTGAATATTACATGTACTTTTGAAATGTTAAATAATTTTTCAGCAAACATTTGAGTCCTTACTGAGAGCCTATGACTCTACTGGATGCTGGACTCAAAGAGCTGGGGATGGGTGGGGTGGGGATACAACCTGTCCTGATTTCATGAAATATGGAAAAGTGGCAGGTAGTCAAGGGCATACCTTGTGTAATTACAAATAGATATATTGGCTTAGGCTTCTCAACTGGACTGCATAGCCAAGTCAGGCTTCCTTGAGGACATGATGTTTGATTATACAGAGAGATATTCTGTTTTATTTCTGACTTTTAACAACCCTATGCCTCAGAGTAGAATAGTCTCACAAAGTTTCTTACGCTGTAATCTTTACTAAAAAGAATTGATGCACTTGAATCACAGTGTTGGTGAATACTTAATGCATCAGATACCACCAGAACAAACTAGTCCATCATCCAGAAAACACACAGCCAGACTGCTCTTCAGATGTGAAGATGACAAAAGCCTTCCTCTCGCTTCCTTAACTGTGTTGCCAGAAGGAATCAGTCCCCGAAGATGGGTGGCATCATGCTTGATGCAGTAAAGGGTCAGCAAAGAAGAGGAAGCTGCCCAATGAGACCGATCGACCCAGTGGGGATGGCGATGATGGCGTAGGAAAGGGCAGTGCTTCGTTTTTGTTGTACATAGAGTGGCTGTGAGTTCAAGCCAACAGATAACCCCCAACAGTCGTTAGAAGGTTGTGGTGAAGAGTCATTTGGTGACTGCCAGCCTTTATTTAGCAGCCAGTGCTTAACTGTTGTCCCACTGGATTTATTAGACAAGGAACTATGAGGTCTCGTTAGATGAGAGAGAGTGGGGGATGTTTGAAAGACCTTCTGCAGAAGATCTGTACCTATCAAGTTTTGCAGCAGGAGACAGTATGAGGTAACTGAAGAATAAAAAGACCAATGTAGTGAGACACCATAAAGTGGGAACCTTGTTTGAGAAAAGTTTAGAAAGGAAGGGAAAGGCCATTCCACATAAGGCCTTAGTTTTACATTTCTAAAAAGGAAAATTAAAAGCAGATTTGCTTTATGCTCCTTTTGTATTGTTGTTAATACTTTATATTTGTTTGATACCACACATAGTCTCATTTCTTTCTCACGATACTCCGTTGCACAAGGAAACGTAGGTGGCGACTTCTATAGGAGTTATATAGCAGGGCGAGATTTTATAGTGGGTATTACAACTATAGGAAGGCTGAAGTTCTCAAGTAAAAATTTTATTTCACTACTTCAATAAGCCTTTGAGGAGTAAAAACAATTTACTATCCTTTAACGCTTAGACTTTGACATTTCGTTCTAAAAGGGGGAGGAAGAGAGGGT